AAAAAAAAAAAAAAAAAAAAAAAAAAAAAATAAATAAATAAATAATATAAATAAATTAATATAAATGGAAAAAGAAATACAGAAATAAATATAAATAAATAAATAAACAAATAAATAAATAAAAACAACTAAGACACAAACCCATAACCCATTTCTTTTTGTCTCTTTGACTCCAAAGGAGACAAATAAAAAAAGAAAGAAAAAAACAAAAACAAAACAGTATAAAACAGAAAAGGAGACAGATGGAAAGGAGACAGATAAAAAGGAGACAGATAAAAAGGAGATAGATAAAAAGGAGACAGATATAAAAGGAGACAGAAAAGGAGACAGATAGAGGAGACAAACAAAACAAGAAACAGAGACAGACAAGGATACAACAAAGGAGACAAAAGGAGACAAAAGGAGACAAAAGGAGACAAAAGGAGACATACAAAGGGAGATGTTATAAGAGCCTAAAGGAGACAAATAAAAGAGGAGACAAACAAAAGGAGACAAAAGGAGACAACAGGAGACAAACAAAAGGAGACAAAAGAAAAAGAAAAAGGAGACAAAAGGAGACAAGAGGAGACAAACAAAAGGAGACAAAAGGAGACAAAAAAAAAGAAAAAGGAGACAAAAAACATACAAAAGTGATATTATAAGAGCCGTGATCGTCACAAATAAACGGAGACAAACAAACAAAACAAAAGGAGACAAAAAAAAAGAAAAAGGAGACAAAAGGAGACCAAAAAAAAGAAAAAAAAGAAAAAGGAGACAAAAAAAAGAAACAAAAAGAAAAAGGAGACAAAAGGAGACATACGAAGGTGATATTATAAGAGCCATGTTCATCTATATTATCATCGAGATGAATTTGTTTTAAAAAAAAGAAAAAGGAGACAAAAGAAAAAGAAAAAGGAGACAAAAGGAGACAAAAGGAGACAGAAAAAACAGAAAAAAAGAAAAAGGAGACAAAAAAAAGAAAAAGGAGACAAAAGGAGACAAAAGGAGACAAAAGGAGACAAACAAAAAGAAAAAGGAGACAGTAAAACTTACAAAAGTAATAGTATATGATCCGTGTTCGTCTAGGTTATCATCAAGATGAATTTGTTTTAAAAAAAAGAAAAAAAAACAGAAAAAAAACAGAAAAAAAAACAGAAAAAAAGGAGACAAAAGGAGACAAAAGGAGACAAACAAAAGGAGACAAAAGGAGACAAACAAAAGGAGACAGTAAAACTTACGAAAGTAATATTATATGATCCGTGTTCGTCTAGGTTATCATCAAGATGAATTTGTTTTAAAAAAACGAGAAAAAAAAAGAACAAAAAAAAAAAGAAAAGGAGACAAAAGGAGACAAAAGACAAACAAAAGGAGACAAAAGGAGACAAAAAAAAGAAAAAAAAAAACAAAAAACTTACGAAAGTAATATTATATGATCCGTGTTCGTCTAGGTTATCATCGAGATGAATTTGTTTTAAAAAGGAGAGAATTTGTTTATCTTCGTCAGAAAGAAGAGACAGCTGAGGGTGGTTAGTGAGCGAAATAAACCAAAAAGAAGGTATATTATAAATTATATTTTGTCTCCTTTTTATAATAGGTTTTTTCTTTTTATCGTATTTTATTTGTATATTCATTTGTTCTCTCGCACACTCTGTATCTATCTCTTCTATTTGTTCTTGTATAGTTTCTAGCTCCTTTATATATGGCTGCAGCAACAACTCTCTACTCCTGCTGCTGCTGCTGCTGCTGCTGCTGCTGCTGCTGCTGCTGCTGCTGCTGCTGCTGGGGGAGGGGGGAGATAGCAGCTTTCGCTGCTTGCTGGGATCGATATCATCAGCAGTAGAAACACGATCCCGCTTCGTCATCTTCTTTTTTCTTTTTTTTTATTTTATTTTATTTTATTTTATTTTTATTTTTTTTTTGGTTTATTTGT